GCGAACTTTACTAAAAATTTACTAGTTGGTATGACTCCTTTTCCGTCTGGGTTAGGTCACTCTCTTATATATTTCTGCCTCCAAGCTGCAGTGCGTGCACTGCTGTGTTTATGTCTGAAGAGTATAGAGCCTAGTGAAGCTTTCCATTTTAGTCATCAGGGGTGGCAACGCATCTTTTGCGTTCTTTACTTGAAGTTTTTCTTACTACCGACTTCAAAAAGGAGACGGTACTAAATTTGACTTACATGTTTTTTCTTTTTTTTATGTGTTACCTCAAAAATGTTTTCTGGGTGAACCGATTTCGATGGTCAAGGTCTGACCAATAGTTTTTGAGTTGTTCTTAATAATTTATATTGATGTCGGTTGTACAAAATTTTTAATTATTATAGAATAAGGTTAACAAACGAGCAGCACAAATTCACCTGATGGTAAGTGAATATTGTGGCCCTTAGACCTCTATATTTATCTTCAAAGAATCAAAATGCACATGCGTTGGCACCCCACCCCATGAGGAGTAAGATGGAATGCCTCGTATCTATTAAAAAGGGGTCTTCGGTTCTCTACACTCACCATACGAAACACAGCGGCTTTCCAGCCGGCACCAATACAATTATACTCCAAGTTTTAAGTGAACACAAGTACAAAGTGCTCTCCAGCTGAAATAAAAAATAAACATAAAATAAAATAGCAGCTTAATATTTTATTTTATGTTTATTTTTTATTTCCGCTGGAGAGCACTTTGTACTTGTGTTCACTTAAAACTTGGAGTTTAATTGTATTGGTGCCGGCTGGAATCAAATCAGAGTTCTCGTGTACGTGTGAAATGTGACGACATTCATACGACGACGCTCATAGCCAATGAGCTACTCAGACACACGTAATATAGTGTAATACTTCACGATTGATGATTTGTTTTTTTTTTTGGAAAAATTTACATTAATACTATTTTATACTCAGATCAGAGATAAAGAAAGTGTGTCCACCACCAAGTTCAAAAATATTATACATACATTGTATAAAAAGGGTTATTAAAATATTATGGAATTTATCGTTGATAATAACCTAACACTAATTTTAAAGAATTAGTCTTAGGTTATTAATGTTGTTTGCTTTAGTTAGAAAATGTTATTTAAGGAAGTTAGTGAATTAAAATCCATCAAAACAATCAAATTTCGTTTTATTATTCACATTTCATAATTACTTTTTACAGCACAGACACATCAAATGTGTTTTATCATACAAAATATATTTTTAAAAAGAAAATAAATATGTATCACAAGAGACAGTGGAGAAATAAACTCAAAGAGTAAGGAAATTATAATAATGACAATCCAATCCCGGTAGTTGTTAGAGATTCTATAAAATTCCTTCAAAATAAACATTAGTATTATTAACTTAATATGTTATGCAAGAATTCTCACTAACTACTAGCAGAAATATAAATAATTTCATATTGAAGGATGAGAAAGAGTATGAAATTTCCTTGAGTCGAATAAAATTCGATTGTGCCACAACTCGATTCTGTCGAGAGTAGGCCGGCAGGTTTGAAACGTCATTTTGAATCGAATTCGGAAAATATATTTTTATCTGGAGATTATTTCGGATAATTTAAAAATGCATTTCTTTAATATTTTTTATTACAGAAATAGGACAAACTTATCAATAAGAAGCATTCTCATCGCTTGCGACTACAAGAGCCATCTAGTGGGCGACTGCAGAAAATCCGTAGTATTCGTTCAGATAATTCTAAATTCGAACCACAATTCGATTGTACGCTAGTTATAGTTTTGCGAGTATGAAATTACTTTGAGTTCTTATAAAATTCGATTGATTCAGAACTCGACTCTGTAGGGAGTATAGAGACCGGCACAACGTTTTCGAGAAATCTTAGGTTTTTTTCCAGTAAATGATGACAATATTAAATAATCCCAACGATTAAATAACTATTGATGGATGTTTCAAAGTAACTTTCATATTATACCAACAGCAGTATTAAATTGATCGTTACATTAAATTAAATTAGAGTATTTTTTATTGTGTTCAAAGCATTAATAATGTATATGCGAGTATTTGAAACTTAAACATAGTATGTCTTTTTACTGAATATCTGCTCTATACTATAATCAGAGCTATTCTGAGAGACTTATAACATATATTAATATGCTAAAGGTTTTAAAAATATCCTAGAAGAAATTTGTTTTATTACTTATTAAATAATTAGTAGAAATAACATTTGTGGCAACATTATACAGTAAATGTCATAATTCTTTTCGTATCATTTTAACGATAAAACTGTTTTTATTCATAGAAAAAAAAAATGCGTTAGAACTTATATTAGCAACATCGGGATTGGATTTAAAAAATAATAGACAGTCTATACGAAATATTTCTTATATAATAGATTATAAATCTGAAATATATTATTCGAGGCGTAGCATACAGATCCTGAGAACATAGTAAAACAAGTTTTAATAAAAGTATATTGTTTGAAAATATCATTATCATTATATTAGCAACTAGCTGATACCCGCGACTTCGTCCGTGTTGCTTGATATATTAATAAAGTTTTCGTATGTGCGAAGGAATAAACATTTTAAAGGCAAAATTTCTTTGTAAACAATGTTATTCTTTGCTCCGTTTGTAGCTAAAATATATAAACTATTTGGGTTAGTAACGCGAGAACAAGCGACGTACAGTTGACCGTGTGAAAAACCCCGTATAAAAGTCGTTGTTTCTTAAAACTTTTAATAAAACTTTTATATTAAAAGAAGATATCGCAATATTTTTTTTAGATAAGGCCAAGTGTTTAAGAAATGAAACTTAGAAAACCTAATTGAAATCTATTCAGTAGTTTTTCCGTGATACGCGCACCACTGCAAACCTCTATCATTTTTTCTGCCGACTTCCAAAAAGGAGCCGGTACTCAATTCGACTGTATGTTTTTTTTTTTTCGTTTTTTTTTTTTATGTGTGTTACCTCAGAACTTTTTTCTGGGTGAACCGATTTCGATGATTCTTTTTTTATTTGAAAGCTGGTACTTCTCGTGTGGTCCCATATGAATTTGATCAAGGTCAGACCAATAGTTTTTAAGTTATTCTTAAATAACTTATATTGAAGTCGGCTGTACAAAATTTTTAATTTTATTATTATATAGATAGAAGATAATGAGCATCACCGGTAGGAAAAATATATCTATTATAAAAGCTTATTTTACGTACATCACACTAATTTTAGTTTCATTCCAATACATGCAGTAATACCGAAGTTACTACGAGAAGTTCGGAGCGGTTTTTCAAATTCCCGAAATTTCGCGCGCTCGGGGTGTGACGTCATCTCTCTCGTCTGTCATTGCTCAGCCATTCACCTACGTACGCAACGGTCGAATACACTTATTTTTGTGCTATTTTTTCCTAGCTAATGTAAAAAGCTTATAAGAGTTGTTATAAGTTGTTAAATTGAACATGGAAGTAGACTATTTTTTTTTTATAGAAATAGGGTGACAAACGAGCACACAGTCCACCTGATGGTAAGTGGTTGCTGTGGCCCATAGACATCTACATCTATTCTCGTTTGCGAATCAAAGTGCAGATGCGTTGTCAGCCTTGAGGACTAAGATGGAATGCCTCTTTTCAAGTAAAATTGGTAGCCGGTTCTCTACACTCACCATACGAAACAGCAGCATTAAGCTGCTATTTTACGCTGGTATTCTGTGAGAGCGTGGTCCTTCCCCGGTCGTGCCGATCCATTCATGCTACAACTATATTATAAATATAGCTGCAGCTTGGCTCTACCACGTATAAAATGAAAATGGTCAATGTGACAATTTTCCTAGCGTATGGTTTTATCTATCTATTTCTTTAAAAAATAGTGACTATGGCAGCCAGGTAAGCATTAACTTATCTATAAAGTGGTAGAAGTTTTGTTAGGAATATTTAGGTATTAATATTTAGGTACATGTCATGTCGTACCTAAATCAGGGCTGTTGCAACAGAGCTAAGGGCCGCATTAGCCGAACAGTTTAGTAAATAAACTAGTGTGAAGTAGACGCAATATCTCCACTTATATCTTACAATTTTCTTAAAAATATGTGCTTTTTCAACCGACTCCAAGAAAAGGAGGTGGTTGTCAGTTCGACTGTATTTTTTATGTATTACCTCGGAACCTTTTTCTAGGTGAACCGATTTTGATGATTCTTTTTTTATTGGAAAGCTGGTGCTTCTCATGTAGGCCTATATAAATTTGATCAAGATCTGACCAATAGTTTTTGAGTTATTTTTAATAATGCGCATTTAATTAACTTCGACTACATTGATGACGTTCCTTCTCATTTTACAAAATTCAACAAAACTTTTAATTTTACCACTTCTTACTTTTTTGATACAATGCAATGGACCGAACAGGTTTCCATTTAACTGCTTTGGACAAGCACATATGTGAGGCACTATGTCTTTCTTAAACTACACAGTCCTTGTCATTTTCAACTTAAAACAAAAATTAACTTATTTTATGATGACCAGTGTGGTGTAGCTCACTATCAGCGGTTCCGGGTTCGATATCCGAATGGAAATGATTCTAGGTAGATTTTTTAGAGCCACGTTTATTCAGAGTAGTTGTTTTAGTTCCATCGTCGGTCATGATTTACACCCAATCCGAAGAGATTATTTTCTTGTAAGCTACATTCATGTTCTCAGAATCTGTATGCAGTTTTATTTATATACTGGAAGCACAAAATTGAGACCGTATTACAACGAAATTTACAACCAAAAACAAACAAAACACTCATCACCATTCGTCAAATGACAAGTAGAAATAGTATGTGTTCTAGCAACACCGCCATACAAACGTCAGAAATATATATACAGGCGATTTTTTTATTTGAAAATTTGACAGTTCGTGTTGCTGTGTAAAAAAAAACTACCACTTAGTAAATTTTATCAAAAATACCCGGAAAATCTCAACAATGCTTAGGAATGTTTATATTTAGATTCTTTCTGTTAATACTATTGATTTCCGTCTTGTCTTTGAGTTTTCTGTTGTGCCCTAACGAATTCCGGATAATCTATGTAACCATCCCTGTTATGGTCATCCATATTTAATATGGGGTCTATTAAATTCGTTAACTCCTCATCAGTAAAGATTTTCTCTCCTACCGGAGGAGATCCTGGCTGAGGTTGCTGTTTGTGACCTTGCTCTTCTGAAATGAAAGCAAGATGGCGTCCCAATCCAATTGATGTCGGCAATGGCAACACATAAAAAGGAGACAAACACAAAATGAGTTTTACACACATTGTTTCGAAACAACATAGATAAAAAATAATTCATTCATAAACATTCACTCAATTTGCTATATTTAACGGAATCGTAACAAAGTAGTGTTTGTTTAAACTGTTATTTATTATTAAAATGGTGAAACGCGTTTAATGATTATTTATTATCTATGCGAAACAAGTAAAACGATGAAAAAATTGTATAGAAATACTTTATGATTTGAAGGGCATAATTTTTACTGTCAATGCCATATTGCAGTTTAATTCATAACTTTAATAGGATTGTTGCAGATATGGAAGCAAGCAGACCCAAGTTAACTTAAGAAATTTTACAAAATACCTTCAAAATTTTCACAAAGTATTTCCTTAGAACCCAAATGTAAGGCAACCCAGATCTCTTTACATGTTCCCAAAAAAATAACTAATTTGATTTATTTTTAACCCAGAAAAGCGACAAATGCTTTTTTTTTTCATAATAAACAATCCTAACATTTAGAATCCCAAAATACGGAAATGAAAAAACAAATAAAATAATTATATATACCCCTATATCACAGATTATAAAATATAGATATCCAAAACTAGTATATTAAAACAACAAAAATATTTTATTAAAAAAGTCATAAGGTGTTCTAAATGGATGTATTATTTTCCATTTAAAATTATGTACAATAAATTCAAGAAAAATTTAATAAGGAAATAATTCCTTTAATAATTTAATAGTGATAGTCATTTTAATCAATTCTAAAATGTATTAATAATAATAGTATCATTCATGCTTTTAGTTATTATACACAATAGGGTAGCAGACACAACTGAAATACTTTTCACCAGCTGTCAAAACAAAACTGACACTTCTTGTCATCAAATATACTAAAACTAAAAATTTTACTCATAAAAGAAAATTAATCAAGTTATAAGACACAAATTCAAATTGTAAAAAGTAGTTATTTATTGTTAATGGTGTCAACTACCCAATAAAAGTGTAAAAAATTAAAAATTTTGCAAGTATAGGAAGTGTTTGCAAGTGTTTAAAGTGTTTACAAGTATTTGGAAGTGTGGAAAGTGATTGCGAGTGTTTAAAATGATTGCAAGTGTGGAAAGTGATAAAGTGATTGTGATTATGTAAAGTATTTGCAAGTATGTGTAAAGTGATTGTAAATACGTAATATTTGCAAGTGTATGAAAGCGTGAAGTACTCACCGTGCCAGTGTATAAGTGATTTGATCAATTCGCAGCCATCAAGCTTATCGTTGTTGTCAGCATCATGCATCTTGAAGTAATGGAACTGAAGCTCCTGCTCCGACATCTTGGACGTGTCAATTGGTACATCCATGTGTTCCTGGATGTGGCTGTAAAGTAAATAACATCCTCTAGCTATCAAATGTGCAAAAAATACTATAATGTCGCTAAAACAGAGGCACTTATCTCAGGGCTGCCAAACCAATCATCATCATCATCATCATTACAGCCCATCACAAGTCCACTGCTGAACATTGGGTATCCCCAAAAAATGCCACATACACGGTCTGGGCCACCTGTGTTGCCTGACTTCTTGCAAGTCTTACCAAGTCATCACTCCATCTAGTGACGAACCTTTCAACACTGCACTTAACCGTACAAGGCTGCCGCCACTCGAAAACTTTTCTTCCCCATCGGTTATCGGTTCCCCGAGCCGAATTGCCGCCCTATTGCCACATAAGCTTACAGACCCGTTGCGCTATGTTGGTTACTCTGGTTCTGCTACGGATATCTTCTATAAGAATTTTACATGTAGAAGAACTCCGATCATAGACCTATCTGTAGCTCACTGAGCGACCTTGAACTTCAACATACGGCTAGCAGTGAGTTACCACGACTCAGATCCATATTATGTCATCACTGACAAAACGCACTGGTTGTACAATCATGTTTTTAAATTTTGAAGAATATTTGACGAGGAGATGTATCATTACTTGGAGGAGGCCTATGTTCAGCAGTGGACTTGTGAAGGGCTATAACGATGATGATGATGTAAAAATCAATTGCTGTCTGTTAGTCTCGCAAAAACTCGAAAAAGGACGGACCGATTTTGATGAATTTTTTTGTGTGTTTGAGTGGGTCCTTAGATAGTTTAGAGAATCACAATTGGACCCGGTAGGTGGCGCTGTTATCGAGATCGAGTGTATAATGTAATTTGTATGGGGAAGGCCTATGTTCAGCAGTGGACTTTTGGTAGGATGTAACGATAATGGTACCTGTTTGAACAAACAGAAAATTAAAAAAAATAAGCTTATTGTGAAGTATTTCTCACATGTCAAGTGAGATATGTGTGTATGTCAAGTATTAATTATTATTTTGAGTTACTTTTAAGTCATACGTAGTAAAAGAATTACTGCAAAAAAGTTGAAGAATACTCACTCTCTTTCTTGGGCTATGTTGGCTGGATTCAGGAGTTGGGGATCTGCAAAAATACAACTTCAAATAATGTATACAATATTAAAAAACTATAATTAAAAGAAAAACTAAAAGTAATAACTTTTTTATCATACAGTCCTAATCCCTGTGATATCGTGCTAAAGCTGGCTGCGTTTCCTCCCTGAATGTATATACTTAGCCTTTGAGCAAGAAAAGAACCAGTCTTCTTATCATCAGAAGTAATGACCAGTTGCGGATAGAGTTCCTTTAAGAACTTCATTTAATGAAGAAATGTGTAATAAAATTAGTAGATTTAATATTAATATATAAATCTGGTTTTCCATGTATATTTATTAGCATATAATTATCTGTTTCTTTTTTTTTTAATTCACTTTGCTATTTATGTAAGTTGTGGTTACCTGTAAGAAGATGAACACATAACATGTAGAAGCAGTGTTGAGTTATATTTTTGTTAGTATTGTGTATTGTCTGTTGGTGATCCAAATAGAGATAAAAAAAGGCAAAAGGGTGGTACATACCAAGATGGGACTCCTAAAAACCTACCAAAAACCTGCTGGTGTAAGTCTGTAATAGAACAGATACAACTCACCCCCGTGGGCAGCATGACCCTGTGGAGAGTTTTGCACCGGAATCTGCTGCACTGGCACTTGTTGTTGGTAATGCTGCTGCTGTGGTTGCTGCGGCTGTTGGTATTGTTGCTGTTGTTGGTATTGCTGTTGTTGCTGGTACTGTTGTTGCTGCTGGAATAGTAGAGAAAACATTGTCATCATCATCATTACAGCCCTTCGTAAGTCCACTGCTGAACATAGATCCTCCAAAGAATGCCACATAGCAAGGTCCCGAGTCACCTTCACCACCATTTATTCATGAAACCGAAGTGTCAAGCAAACTAAGAGTCCACCTGATGATATGTGGCTGCTACTGCAACTTATCAACAGATCCAGCCAACTATAAACGAAGAACGTTACAGATGCGTTGTTAGCACTACTGGTGGTCAGAAAGTGGTAGATACCTAGACGGGCAGGAAAAGCAAAATAATAAGCGATTTCAAGCTCGGAAAGTCGTGGGTTCGAATCCGCCATTCGACCACCGTCGTGAACTACTCTTAACTCTTATTAATTTTTCCAAAAAAAAAAACATCAAGCATCAAGTATTTATAATAATAATAACAGCTACAGCAGCCTATGAACACCTATGACAAAGTTTAAGTAAAGAACAGATGTGTTGTCACCACTGAGAACTAAGATGGAAGGCTTCACAGCCTGTTATTATACGGGCAATTCTTTATATACTTCAGATGGGAACACATCGGTGCATGCACTGCTGTTAATATACAGGGTTATTTTTCAAAGAGTAGCCAAATTTTAAATCTTAAGTTCAAATATATAAACAATGATATAAATCAGTTAAAATAATGCATTACCACGCATTTTGAATTTAAAAGATAATAATTTAAAATTAAAAACTTTGTACAACCAACTTCAATATAAATTATTAAGAATAACTCAAAAAAGATTTGTCAGACCTTCATCAAATTTATATGGGACCACATGAGAATTACTAGCTTTCAAATAAAATAAAAAAAGAATTATTGAAATCGGTTTACCCAGAAAAAAGTTTAGAGATAACACATAAAAAAATAAAAAACAAACATACAGTAGAATTGAGTACCTCCTCCTTTTTGAAGTTGGTAGAAAAGGATGTTTGAGGTTTCTTTTAATTAATATTAAACTTCACCATTTGCCTTTATAAACTTATTCTGAACCTTCTCTGTAAATTTAGCTGGTTATTGCAAAACAACCTTGTATATTTTTTTTATAGGATAAGGGTGACAAACGAGCACACAGTCCACCTGATGGTAAGTGGTTGCTGCAGCCCATAGACATCTACATCTATCCTCTGTTACAAATCAAAATGTAGATGCGTTGTCACCCGTGAGGACTAAGATGGAATGCCTCATTTCCAGTAAAAAGGGCCTCCGGTCACCTGCACACACCAAGCGAAACGCAGAGGTAAACCTCTACTTCACGCTGGTTTTCTGTGAGGTCGTGGTACTACCCCGGTTCGAGCCAACCCATCCGTGCAACAGCAAAAGCTGCCGCGTGGCTCTACCACTGTTATAGGAAGTAATTTATAGAAATTCATAATGTTTCACATATTCCATACTCAGGTTACAACATCCACAGAACAAATTGTGATGATCCATTTAAGAAGCGACTACAATTCAAGCTAAAAAGTAACTGAATATTGACAAATTTTTATTGGAAATGTTTTTGAATTGACCATGAACAAAAGTTGTGCTGAATTTCAATCAATTCTCACTGGTCACTGATAAAAGACACAATGTAAGTAAAACTAAGTAAGAATAAGGCATTCTTTCATGCATAGATTTTTTATATTCCTTGGCCCTTTTTTGTATTATTAGTCAATACATACATCCATTAAAAATGGCAGATTGTAAAAATGGAATTTGAACATGGTTACAAAATTTGTCATACAATGATATGGAAAAGTTGCTAATAGTTTTAAGTTAATTAATGATAATATATTTTACCAAAGTTTACCCTAATTAGTTGATATGTTATTCATTTTATATAAGAAACAAAAAATAATTGTTAGAATACCTATTAGCACTTACATCTGAGACCTGTACCCAGCAGTATACTTTAACAGGCTACTAAAGAAGAATGCAAAAAAAAACTTACTGGTGGTTGCCCAGGTTGCGGTGGTGGTGGTGGAGGTTGGTAATTCTAGAAGAGAATAGAAAATTATAATTATAAATATTGATAATTGAATATTGCATATTGCTACATTAATTAGATAGCTAGATAGCTGCATTATAACTTTTTAATATTATTGTAAACTGTAAAAAATAAACATTTTATTTTTTTATTTTATATTACATTATTAAAAGCAGTCATAGCTCTTCTTTAGGTTATCCCTCAATTTCACAGCATGATCTCTTTCCCTCTCTAATCTCTCGAAAGTGTCAGACAGTAAAATTAGGGAACAATAAAGTGAGATTATAACTTTACAAAAATCAAAACTTAAAAACTATACATCTACCCGTGCTTAGGGTGGTCTCAAGCATGTAATTTACTGCTCCAACCCTCTCCTACCTCTCCATAACTGTTTTGTAATTGTACTAAAATTTTATGATATATTTCTTATACTTAATGTTAGAGCATTAAGTATTATAAAAAATTATTTAACTTTTAAATTACTATAGGTAGTACTTTAATAGCAAAAAATGATGCACAGTTTTTCACAACAAATTTCAAATGATGAGTATATGTATGAAAGAGCAGTAAACTATTCATTTTAGCCTAATTAGAGAAAAAAATACTTTTTTTGTTACTGAGCAATAGGAATAGATAGCCTATTTTGAAATACTGAGAATCCGTAAATCTGTACGTACATAGGGGCTGGTTATCTGTCATACAGGCAATACAAGTATAGACAGTATTTTTTATTTTACATTAGTGGTAGAGTCATGCTACAGCTATATTATTAGGACAGGTGTAGCACAAATGGGCCGGCTCGACCAGGGACGGACCACACTATCACAGAATACCAGCGTAAAATAGCAGCTCAATGCTGCTGTGTTCCGTATGGTGAGAGTAGAGAACCAGAGACCCTATTTACCGGAAACGAGGCACTTCATATTAGTTCTCACAGGTCACAACGCCTCTGCATTTTGATTGATATTCGAGGATACATGTAGATGTCCATGGGCCACAGCAATCACTTACCATCAGGTGGACTGTGCTTGTTTGTTACCCTTATCTAATAAAAAAAAAGACACCAGCCTCTCACAAATTGATATAGTAGCATGTTAATATTAAGCTGTATGTTATGTTTACTTTTGAATTTATGAGAGAAATGAAATAAACTTATTATTATATTAAAACCTACTCCTATTTTTATTAATATGTAACGAATAATAATTTATATAACAAACCGGCATTGCTTAATTACCTGATAATTCTGTGGTGGTACTCCGGGAGCCACTTTCTGTTGATATTGTTGAGAAATTGTGCACTGCACGAGCGCAGCGATAAACACCAACTTTATCATTTTACTATCTGAAAATAACGCCAAGTTAACCATTAAAAATCTTAATTTTCAATTTAAATCTATATTATGAATCACTTTTCCATCACTTTATATATTAATAACACGTATTATTTTTAAACTTTCGAATTATTACACGTACACTAACCAAAAGAAATTCCGTGACATATGTGTGAAAAATATGATTACCTGTTAATCTGAGTTAATGTAAGCAGCCTACGTGGACTAATGAGTGATTGATACGGATACGCAGTTTATCGAATCGATGAATTGATAACATAAATGCTTGCCTGATATTTCAAAAACAGGATTGTGAAACTCAACACGTCAGAGTTTTGACTTTTGACATTTTTATTTTTTTATTTTTGATGATAGAAAATGTTGTTTTTAATCTAGACAAAAGTCTTACACCATACAGCCTATCGGATAATGTGTATTTGTATGTATATTAGTTATAATATACTAATGCACCACATTGCAAAGTATCTTTAGGTATTTATAATTGAAAATGCTGGCCATTCTCATCAAGTTTCCAGTTCTGATCTATGTTTGAAGTTTCACTTTCAAGTCTCTAGCTTATCGAAAAGTGAGTTTAAAAACAACTATCTCATTTATTGGGACCCTACGGCTATCTACGTTCGGCCAGAGGTGCAACCATGCTTCGAATCTCACTAGCCTTCATAAGCTTACATCTGACACTGAGTTAAAAGAAAAATGTGGTAAAGATAGAGTTTGTATTATTTTACTAATTATATCACAATATAAAACCAATAGATAATAAGTCACTTGTGTTCAAAAAGCAACACAACATTTTTAGGTTAACCAAACCAATAATAGAAATTCTTATTGGTTTGAGGTTTTTACACAACGTTTCAGTTCATTTTATTAAATAACTCTAATGAATCATTATTACTGTATGGGCAAATCACACCACAAAATTTGCGAAGGCAAATTGAATCGATTTGGTTGAAACCAGCCAGCCTCTAAGTATACTTTAGGATACATTTTGGAGTGTACGCAGGATTTACATGTTTTAATTCCTCCCTCTCCTTTCCACTATCGGAAAATCAGGCGGTCGGCATGTCTTTACACCTTTGTTGTTGATATTCCATGCATTATAAACAAACGGTTTGCTTTGACTTTTGTAATGCGTACAGCAAAGGAGTGGAATCATTTGCCAGAGTCTGCCTTTCCAACACTAAGACCATGCGATTTACCATCTAGGGCTTCATTGTTACTTACCACCCGGTGGCATCGCGGTAAAACATCGTAAAAAACATGCATGACGAATAAATATATACATATATTGCAGGCACATGAATTTCGTCTTTTTAAAATAGCCAAACTGAGTGTTTCTTACGGAGCCCTTAAGTTCTGTCATTAACAAGACTTAGCCAGTATCCAGCAGTGGGACATACGCAGGCTTTACAAAGTTCATAAAAACTATGCAAAACAATCAGCGCAAAACTAGCATTAACAGTCGAGCGACCACTTAAAATTTGAAACGTAGCACCCTTGTAAAACAAAATTATAAAACCAAGTGATAGGAGCGTAGATCTATTCTTCTTTTAAATTTGATACCAAAAATAATTTAATCAGCTTACTTTTCGAGGAGAAAACAGGGGAATACGAAACGTCGATCGGTCATGGTTTTTGTAGGTAAAATCGTTCTGAGATGCAGTTGTCCTTATCGCACTCTACGGTGGGGAGACCATATTATATAGCGCGACAGCAATTAGTTTCTTCAAATACCTATTTTTCAATACCCGCGCAGATCGACTACGCTCTTAAGCTGTTATTTTACGTTGGTATTCTGTGAGAGCGTGGTCCTTCCCCGGTCGAACCGACCCATATGTGCTGCAACTATACTACTAATATAGCTGCAGCATGGCTCTACCACGTAAAAAAGTAAACTACCAGCATATTAATTAAAAGTTATTTAGTATGTTATTAGTACAGGGATAGGTGTGATACCAGATTTTAATTAAAATATTACCAAATTAGATGCTTGTATTAAAAGTTATGGACGAAAAATTGTAAAGGATATTAAATTAAGGAAGTTTTTATTTACAAAAAATAATTAAAGAAGTTAAGATTAATAAATATCGAAGAAGACGTTGAGACAACTCATCATTTTTATCTTTTAATATCACTGATATAATAAATTTCCGCAAAGTAACACCAGATTATATTCCTTATTTTAAAATTTTCTATAGACTTGGTAATTTTCTCAACTTCAATAGTTTTGTGATATTTAACAAATAATAATAAAAGCCGGTCCTTACTTACATCATAACGCGATAACGTCTATGAGTAATGGGATATGTAGGTAAAGGAGGCAACTGCAGAGGGTTTTTGTCTTCATTTATTAATAATAAAACTTCTTACAAAAATAAGACATAACGAACACTTATAAAAAATTAGTAGGTACATTAAACACTTATAAACTAACATTGTTTAGATAAAAATAGAGTAGGAAAAAACAGAGTAGGTAGAAGTTTATTTATTGCAATCCATAGCTACGAATGAGTCTCAATAAATCCCCCCCCCCCCTTTGACACTAACACAATGGTGGTTATGGCACTGTAGGTCGACGAAACTAGTAAAATCTTTATAATTCCACACCTTTTTGGCATATCCGCTCTACGTCGGAGGCCTCCAATTGTAGCTAAGAAATTTGACGTGCTCATGAAGAAAAGAAAGAAGCAAAAATATCCAGCAACTGATACATAATTTAAAAAATATGACTTTCTATCATTTTAGATTTTAGAAATAAGTAATAAATGGCTACTACAGTGCATGGGAACCGGCTACAAACTACAATACAAACGAATGTTTGTATTGTAGTTTGTACTTAGAAACTTTCAAGTCTACTCTTTTTCAAAAGGCCAGTAACGTCAGGAATTTTTCTGGTGTTGCAGATGTCTATGGGCGGTGGTATTCACAATAAAGTACTTCATAGTTGTCACCATCGGGTGAGCCGTATGCTCGTTTGTCCTCCCTTTTATGAACAAGTGGTAAAATTAAAAATTTTGTACAACTACGACTTCAACATAAATAAAATGAAAACATTGTCAATTTAGGCGAAGTCAATTAAATACGTATTATTAAGGATAACTCAAAAACGAATAGTTGACCACATGAAAAACACTAGCTTTCAAACAAAAAAAAATCATCAAAATCGGTTTACCTAGAAAAGGTCTGAGGTAACACACACATAAAAAACACAGTCGAATTGAGTACCTCCTCCTTTCTTGAAGTCGGTTTAAAAATACGTAGTTATCTCTTATAAACTATGATTATAACACACATACACAGCATGTAATTATGGCCTACAGACGGAAACAAGGGAGTGAATGCAATGTGACAGGAATAAGTAGTTTTTTTTACGTGTACATCTATAATCATTTACAACCAACAAAGTGGTTATGGATGCATACATATGTGGGCGTCTAGCAGTAAACTTTTACGGGCCGATAAGGAAAGATACATTGAACATGGTTTTTGCGTCACATGAAATATGTACGCAGCGCTCTGTCTATCTTGTTTGGTATGATGCATTGCCTGTACTCTAGAGTCAGGGTAAAAAAAACAGTTTGTCTTTAAAATACTTAAAAAAAATACTATTTTACGCTTTTTTAATTATCGATACAGTTTTCCTCCTCCCTTCTCCATTTTCATCAACTATGAGCCCTTCGAACTCGCTAGCTAATGCCTTAATGCAGTCAACTTCGTTCTTAGTCAAGCCCGTCGGCAATTCGAATTTCGCGTACTCGTCGCTTCCCGCCAAATTTTGACACATGTCTCTGACATCATTTTGAAAATTGACATCAACGTCGTAGACAATCTTTTTTTTCTGCGGTGTTGATTTGAAAGCAGTCTGCCACATTTCTTTTTCCTTTTTCGCAGATTCCTGGATGTAGCGCTCGAAATCAACCAGCGCTTTGCCGATTTCCTTATTTTTCGGTTCGAGTTTCAGTGCTTTATTGTAGTATTTTAACGCCTCTTCTCTTTTACCAAGCATTTCGTAAGCCCTGCCATAGTAAAATAACGCCTTACAGTGCGTTTCTATGTCGATTAAATGGTCTAGATTCTCGCACATGTTTATTACATATCTAGGTTTGTTTATTTTGTAGTAGCACACCGCTAAATTGACAAATACGGCTATTTTCAGTTTCTTCACTTTGCTTTCTTCGGTTTCATTCTGCGGTTGAGATATTCTCAACACGGACATCGACTGTTGATAGTTTTTGATAGCTTTGGTGTATTTTTTCTTATTGAATAAGTCCTTAGCTTGAGAGTTCAGGGAGTTTACTGTATTCATTGTAACTTCAAATTTCTTCTGTTCCTCCATAGGTAGATCGTTGAATCTGAAAATTTCAATTTGAATTGGACAGCTGAACCGATTATATATTTTTTTATAGAATAAGGGTGACAAGCGAGCACACAGCCCATCTGATGGTAAGTGGATGCCCATAGACATCTACATCTATCCCCAATTAAAAATCAAAATGTAGATGTGTTGTCACTCCTGAAGACTAAGATGGAATGCCTCGTATCTAGTAAAAAGGATCTCCGGTTCTCTACACTAACCATACGAAACAGGAGAATTGAGCTGCTAATTTATGCTGGTATTCTGTAAGAGCGTGGTTATATTCCGGTCAAGCCGACTCATTCGTGCTACAACCATTGTATATTTGCAGTGTCTCTACCACATATAATGTGTTACAAATAATATGTTTTGAGAGATTACATTAAAATTTAAATGAAACTTATATTGCGTATTTAATCAAGTATAATTTAAACTTTTCTAAGAACGTTATTGTAAAACAGTTTAAGTTAACCTAGGGTTATATTTAACTAGGTGGACTTCAAGCAACGGGAGAGACCCTTGTCCAACAGTGGACTTTTGTGGGCTACTAAAGCGGAAGTTTCAATATATCTTACCTTGCCGCTGCTTGTACGTCTTTAACATCATACAACACGATAACAAACAAAGCGGGCTCTGGTCTCACGCGGGGCGGAGCACCCCTCTCCCCCCACGTAGCGGTCGGCTGCAGCAGTAAATGGAACCTGGCTTTGGGCCCCTTCACCGCAGTCAGACCTACTTCCAGGCCTAATAAAATCTTGCGCGTGCCTAAACGGACATTCTGAAACATAATAAATAACAGCAAATATAATAAAAACAGATTATAAACGCCTTTGCGTTATAAAAATTAAAAGACACAAAAAAACATTTGGGAACTTTTTGAAGAAAGTACCTTGTAATCCGACAAATTACATATCAAATATAAAATAATAAAAAAATAAAAAAGTCATGTAATGCACAATGAATACCTAAACAGTAAATGATCAATGACCGCTAGGCTGCAACCCAAGAAACAGAAACTTTTTTATTCAATATAAATAAATAATATTTATTGAAAGTCACTCTTTTGTTTAATTACCACTGGTTCGAAAAAAAACCTCTGTCCTGGGAAATACCAGCAAGAAACCCAGCGGGACTTTTTTTTTAAATAACAGCTTACAATCATGTATGTTACACAATTAACCACACAAAACAAATTATAAATAGCTTGGTAGTGATCACCTCATTCCCAGGGGTTATTATCATCCATAAATTCCTTAACATTATGATAACCCTTTTTATACAAAACTTTGTTTAATAAAGTTTCTGAATTTTGAGCAGGTTAAGTCTAGCCGTTTCCACACTGGTAAGATTTCTAATCTTTCTTACAGCATATGCTGCAGAACCAAGTCTGCCCATAGTCACATTTAAACTGTGACAATGGCGCGAATTAATTGTAACCTGTTTGTCCACGTATTCGCGAAGCATCCGCGGTGGCGGATAAGTGTTAATGCGTGTTAAACGCATGTCGGATTACAAGGGGCTACGGATTAGCTAGGGGACTGATTACCGGGGGTCTACTGTACTTTAAAAAACCTCCTCTGATATCGGTGCTAAGACAAAGTGTATCAGTTAGAATTATTACATTTAAATTAGTAATATTATAATTATAAACCTAGAGAAATTATACCTAATATGTCATGTTACAAAAAGCATATTATAACCTATATTTAGTCTGAGTTTAAACAAGAGTCTTTTTCAATAAACGGAAAATATGCCAACTCAAATTTCGCGAGGTCTGTGGCGCCACAGTCCAGGGATTTCTTTCGTTATAGAGACTCTACTTTAAAGCTTTAAATTAGAAACTCAACATAACCACGTTTAGTAATAACACCCATTGTGATCACCCTAGAGGTCCACTCAATTAAAAATTTAAATATCGTAACAAACATACAAAAAGAACTGTCGAATTGAGAACCTCCTCTTTAGATTAGGTTAGGAAAATGTATCTATGAGGTCACGTCACGTAGACGTGAAATAGCAGAGGCAGCTATATAGAATGAAAAACTGACAGCCAATGAGGACGAAAAGTTATCGAATGGCAGCCTCGTTCCAGTAAGAGAAGTGACTAGATAGAGTAACTACTTAATGAAACTTATAGGGAATCGTGTCTCGGGACCGTGTTATATTTTGAAGCCATATATTCAGTAGTAGGCTTATGATGGACTATAGTAATGATGATAATGAGTACATATATCCGGCTCATGAAGGACCATCACCGTAAAAGCTAAGGTAAAGTCAAAGAATTAAACACTATTGAGTTTTAACCCAATAATTAAATAATAAACAATAAAAAAGAAACACTCTTTCACTGCTTGCCAAATAAGGAAGCTTATGGTCTCTCAACGAGCTATAGAGAGAGCAATGCCGTTTTTTATGTGATAAAATTCGTTAAGAAGACATTCAAAGTATAACTAGAGAAACTAGCATAACCCAATGGATCAGTAAGCTGAAATGGCAATGCCCATGTAGCTCGAAGAACCGACAACCGATGGGAAAGAAGGTTCTCGAGTAGCAGCCTCGGACTGGTAAGCGCAGTGTTGGTAAGACACCAGATCAAATCATCTCAGTACTGTGTTTTGTGGCATTGCTTTGTGGGAATACTAACAATGAACAAAGCCGCTTCGCGCGCGCACACTCCCATCAGAATACTTCGCCAACCTTCGGAATTTACGTCCGTGATATTAAGCATACTCTCACCACGCCAAGGTTCTCCTTCACTCGCTCAGAGATTCCGGAGTAGACGCACGTTCGATCGCCTTGCATTTCTATACTTACGCTAGTTACATTCTAGTATTGTTTTGTTAGTTTCCGCTCTTTTACTTTGTTCTTTTTGTTTGAATTCAGTTTAGTATTCTTTTGGTTTGTTTTATATTCTCTAGTGTTAAATGTAAATTCTAATTTAAATAATTATAACTGACTTATACTGAACTTTGGACTTTCTTTGCTCACCATACCACCTGAGACACAGTGCAGTTTCAAATACATTAATCGCTGCAGCTTAATGGAGGCCTATGTCCAGCAGTGGACGAAATGGAATGATAGTGAATGATGCCGGCAACGCATCTACAATTCCCCTGGTGTTGCAGTTGTTCACGGGCAGCGGTAATTACTTACCATCAGGTGAGCCGCACGCTCGTTTGCCCCCTCTCCTATAAAAAAAAGGTTTGTGCAGAGATCCGATCGCAATACCAGACGAGATAACACTTTTACTTTAACTTTTAACACTGCTCTCCCTTGCCGATCGTCGTATTTCCGCTCGCCAAGCGTGACTATTAAAGCAAATCATCTCTGTAATGAGAGAGGTTTACATCCAGCAGTGAAGGAAGGTCACAAATAAATTTAACAACATACCAAGGGCTTTCCAGAGTTCATAGTAAGTGTGGAATCAAAAGGAATTTTCGCCTTTTCCCAATAAGCAGCATAATGGATGGTCACCTCAGCATCAACTGGGACAAGGGGGCCATCACCTAAAATAGTAATTATATCAAGCTTGCTCTTTTCACTAAATAACAATAGAAAGAGACCAGTAAAAAGTTATAGACGGGGAGGCAGTGCCAAAAAAAGTATCTGAATTTATTAAGCCTGGTTTTTTCTCAGGTGATTATAATCATAATTTACAATAAAATGCTACGGTCAGTTTAGCGGATATTAGATCAGGTGCGCGGTCAAACATGTCGTGACTACCACCATAATAAAATCAATTTCTTAAGGCTGAAACTTTATGAACTTTTGTTTTTTATATGTAAATCAAAATTATGATAGTCAGTCAACGTCCTATGTGGACACAGCTGGTGAGTTAGCTGTAATGAACATACCTAGCGAGGTTTATAAAGGTGAAATTCGTTTACTAAGCGTAAATTTTTTTTAGTAACTACTACTGACTATATTATTAATAAATGAAATGGTCAGTCCACCATTCCGTAGAACAACGCCCGTCAGCCAGTGAATAAGAAATGAAATTTTTTCGCTCTCTATGGAGATTTTTCATTCATTTAGAGACTTCAGAGACTTTTTTGCCTCTGCCTCTTGGACTATTAATTAATACTTAATTTAAGTAAGTGATATTATATGATTATAAGGTCAGTAAAGTTTAAAGTTAAGTTTTCATTGCTTTTTATAGAATGAGGGTGCAAACAAGCACAAAGTCCACCTCATTGTAAGTGAATTCTGTGGCCCATAGACATTTAGATCTATTCTTGAATTAGAATGAAAATGCAGATGGGTTGTTACCCCTGAAGAAAATATAGAATGCCTTGTAAAAAGGTTCTCAGATTGTCTTTTTTTTTATAGAATTAGGGTGACAAACGAGCACACAGTCCACCTGATGGTAAGTGGTTGCTGTGGCCCATAGACGTCATCTATCCTCGATTACGAGTCAAAATGCAGATGCGTTATCACCCGTGAGGACTAAGATGGAATGCCTCATTTCCAGTAAAAAGGGTCTTTGATTCTCTACACTCACTATACGAAACACAGCAGCGTTATGCTGCTATTTTACGCTAGCATTCTGTGAGAGCATGTTCCTTCTCCGGTCGAGCTGACCCATTTGTGCTACAACTATACCAGTAATATAGCTGAAGCATGGCTCTACCACGTTTAAAGACGTCGTCTACGCTCATTAAACAAAACACAACAGCATTATGCGGCTATTTTACGCTAGTAATCTGTGAGAGTGTGATCGTTCTCCAGTCGAGCTGACCCATTTGTACCACAACCATGATATAGCTGCAGCGTGGCATTACCATATATCTACCACATGACATACAAATGAGTTTATGATAGATGACATCATTCAGCAAACCTTCTTCAATTATAAGCATTTTCACTTCACCAGTGGATACACAGTCAATCATTTTAGCAGCAAGCTCACTGAACGAATGGTATTCGGGAGACGAAAGCATCATCTGTTCCGTGGAGGTTTCTATATTTTTCAAGACATCTTCAGAGTCACTAGAACAAATGAATGTATTTAATATGGACATCCAGCAAACAGTCATTCCACAATACTACGGGCTCTTTTTATTTAGACATAGAGTCTGTCTTAGTAGATAAGTAGGTGGTTACCTATTTCTACCGCACCTTCTGCTTGCACTACTATATTCTGGTCTGAAAATTCTTTGTCTCTCTCCAACGACAATAGAGAACCAGTATAAAAACAGGCTATGAGGCATTCCATCTTATTTGTTAGCGGTGACGACGCATCTGTAACCTTCTTTGCTTGAAGTTGGTTGCAGGTGTCCATGGACTGTAGTATCCATCTACCATCAGGTAGACTCCTAAGGTTGTTTGTCCCTTCAATTATCAAAACAAAAGAAGAAAAAAATACAGATAAGAAACACCACGCACAGGCATCCATTTCAAATAATTACAGTAGAATTCTGTTCTAATGTGTTTGTTCAATATGTGGAGATAAGTCAAATTGAAGATGTCCAAAAACAAGAGTCAATACAAGAACTTGAAAAATCAACAATTACAATACAAATTCATACGTAGAAATTTTTCACGGTCAAGCATAAAAAATTTAAAAACATTCGACCTTACCTTTCATCATCCTCATCAGAATCTAACATTAAATCATTATCCCAATTTAATATTGAGTCAGGTTTCTTCTTCTTGAAATCTGTATCTATATGGAACTCAGTTTGTGATGTTAGAAGCTCCCTGAAATATAAGGATATTTATAAAAGAAAATGTACAAAATTGAAAAATTAATTGGTGTGAACCTCCTTGTAAAGGTTGATGCAAATTTTCAGTTTTTGAGGACGACTAACTAAAATATTTTTTATTTATTAAACACTGACAAGCACTGCTTATCCACTACCCAATATCATTATTGCCATATTCCATTTCCATTATCCCACTGATAATCATTTTTTTATAGGGGGCAAACGAGCATGCGGCTCACCTGATGGTAAGTGACTACAGATGGCAGATGCGTTGCCGGCCTTTTAAAAAGGAGTAGGCTCTTTTCTTGAAGGTCCCTAAGTCGTATCGGTCCGGAAAAATCGCTGATGGTAATCGATTCCACAGGGAAGTTGCGCGAGGAAAACATCTTCTAAATCGCACAGTGGTGGACCGCCAATCATCCAGATGGTATGGATAGTATCGCGAGTTTTATCGCGATGTGCGATGGTGAAATTGAGCGGCTGGAATTAGTCCGAACAATTCCTCAGAGTACTCCCCGTGGTAAATGCGATAAAATACGCAAAGAGATGCAACATCTCTACGCAGTGCCAGTGAGTCAAGCCGATCGGAAAGAACTCGGTCGTCAACGATTCGAACCCCTCTGCGCTCGATGCGGTCAAGTGGAAGGAGCTGGCATTGGGGAGCCCCTCTGCCCAGAGATGGGAACAGTATTCCATGTGAGGCCGAACCTGCGCCTTGTAAAGTTGCAGGCGGTGTGCCGGCATGAAATACTGTCCCGCTCTGCTGAGCATGCCAAGCTTTTTAGAGGCCAGGTTGGCCTTCTATTCCAAGTGACCACGAAACTGCACGTCACTCGATATGTCGACGCCGAGGATTCCGATACTGGCTCAGGCAAGAAGGGGAGTGCCTTGAAACTGAGGAGCCACGACAAAGGAGTTTCTTTTAGCGGTAAACGCGCAAACTTGTGTCTTCTGGGGATTGAACTGGACTAGATTTAGTCGCCCCTAATCCGAGATTTTGTTTAACAAATTCTCGACTTCAGACAAAAGTTTGTTCCGGTACTCTGCGACGTTTTCCTGAGAAATACTGGCACGGTCGGTGTATATAGCATTACCAATGCTGTCATCTGCATAGCAATGCATGTTACCGGTTTGCAACATATCACTGATATGCAGAAGAAACAGCGTTGGTGATAGCACGCAGCCTTGTGGAACACAAGCGTTAATAGGCGTAATCGGAGCACGCATCGTCTACTACGACCTTGATGCTCCGATCAACCAGAAAACTGGTGATCCGATTGCACAAGTTTTCGGGAAGCCCATAGGAAGGAAGCTTCGAAAGAAGCACTTTTTGCCAGACTCGATCGAAGGCCTTCGCTATTGTCAAACCTTGGACTCGATCACCTGCGCCCATCTATAAGGTAAACCAGCTCCAGCAGAAGATCACCAGCTTAGCGACCCCGACAGAAACCGTACTGGCAGTCACTAATCAGCTGGTACTCCTCAAGGTACCGCATGAACTGGCAGTTAATAATAGACTCCATTATTTAGAATCCTCCTCCTCCATTATCGAGAACAAGGAGGTGATGGCGATAGGCCTGTAATTGGACGGATCGGAGCGGTTACCTTTTTTAGGGATCGGGTGCACGAAAGATGTCTTCCATGATTTCGGAACTAAGGATAGGGAGAGGAGTGCTTTGCGTACTGAGCACTATGTGAATCGCACATCAAGCATAGAGCACACACACTGCGGGATGGTCGGCGGTGTGTTCCCCCCGTCATCAAGAGTCGAGTTGGACGCAAAAAGGGAGCCTAAAAGTTCGGGTTTCTCTGTTGTGTGTGTTTCTCCCTGTGCAGAGATGGTAGTGATGGCTTACAGAAATTCCCTTGGACAGCCTTGGCGAGAGACCAGAATGCCCCGTGCATTCCCGAAGGAAGGTGATCTAGTTTCTCGCCAATTCTGCCTATGTGCTCTGACTTTGCATTGGCAATAACTCTTTTGAAGGACCTGGAGGCGAAGTTATACTTCTTTTTAAGCATGCTGGAGTTTACATCCCGAGCCGCCGAAGCTTCAGCCCAGGCCCGATAACAGTCCTGCTTACTGCGTAATGCAGTCTTACAGGAGCGACCAAACCAAGGCTGAGATCTGCCACCGATGGGTACCACAGATGATTGAATAAATAGTTCCATTCCCTGTAGCACCACATCGGTGACGGAGTCAGCAACACCGCTGGGATCATCCGGCGAGAAGCAAATCCGCCTCCATGGGTAGGAAAGACCGCATTCCGTTTCAATCCGCCGACCTGTAATGCCAAACACGGAGGCAACCTGTAGAACGCAACCGCGAGAGCGTGAGTGACACCACACTCCGGATCAGACAATGGTCCGAAGAGCCGAGAGGGGCATCGACGGAAACCTAGTATCCGTCCGGATGAGAGGTCAGCAGAAGGTCTAACAGGGAAGGTGTATTATCCTCCACATCTGGTATTCGCGTAGGCGAAGTAACCAGTTGTGTCAGACCATATGCCAAAGCAAAGTCATAAACAGATCTCGCATGATCGGTTAAACGTGAACCAAGCCATTCAGCGTAGTGGGCGTTAAAATCGCCAAGTATCACGATCTCTACGGATGGTATCTATTGTAGCAAGAAATCTGTAGCCATTTGTACGTGGTCGATGAGTAGGTCTATCGGCATTACCGCTATGGAACCTATACAGGCACCCGTAGACGCGGGGATGATCGTCGCTCTCTACGCGCAGCCATAGGATTCCTTGTCCACTTCTCCATATCATCCCGTGGGTGTCATAAGAACAAATCAGGAGATGAGCAAAAGTGTCTTTCTAATAACTACCAAAAATAAAACACTGCAGTTGCCGATCCGCTTGTTATGAGCCAATTCAGCTTTGTGGGAGGCATATATTCAGCAGAGGACTTTAATATGCTGTAATGGTAAGCATCTTACAGCTGCACTCAGAAAGGTTAATTAAATTAGTCCTGATTAGTATAGCATTAAATTACCATTATTGTATGGGCCATCCCAGAGATATAGTCTACTGCTGTGCGAGGAAAAGAAAAAGAAGGGTAGTGAAGGCAAATGTTGAGATGGAATTAAATGTCTGCTTTGGTGCCAGCCACACTTTTACCTATATATGTTTATTCATTATATGCTGAATATATATATATATATATATATATATATTCATTATTTATATATATATATATATATAAAAATATTGAGGGTCACTTATCGCGATAAAAAATATCCTATCTCTCAAGTTGGACCAAACTGCACACAGTGTGCAAAATTTCATTGCAATCAGTTTAGTAGTTTAGGAGTTCATCGCGGACAGACAATGTGACAGGTAATTTTTATATACATATATAAGGTAATATATATTACCTGATAGTTGATCATGCTCTAATATTTAACCGATTTCAAGAAGAAGGCGATTCTCTATTCGACTGCATAGTTTATTTTTTTGTATATTTGTTACACAATATCTTTGCAGATTGTGGACCGATTTTATTGACAATGTTAACAGAAGTCATAGTTTTTTTTTTCATTATTATTCAATGTTTAATACAGTAAGTTATAAATGAAAGCAACCAGCTACAAATACTTTTAACTGTGTATAAATTGAACACATCTAAGTTGAGCCACAATCAGTGAGTGGCACCTGTTTATAGGTGGCTTTACAGGTAATAAATATAATAAAATGATTTGACATGTTGCCAGACTATTTGCCACCTTGTAAAGGTTACAGTAATATATTTTAATTGAAAAGCAAAAACATTTGTTTTTAATACATAATGTCATAATATTATTACGACAGCCAATTGTGTCATATTGTATGAGAATGTTCTTGGCGATAATGGTTAGTGGCATTTGTCAAATAATAAAATGTGTAGACATCAAAATAGTTATCGCTCGGACTATTAATGCAAGCAAGAAGAATTATTAATGCAACCTTATGTCTACGAGTGTAAAGGATTTTTCCTTTGGATACGGATATTGTTATGTTATCACAACTGATCTAGTACTTTCCGGTCAAAAGGGAGGAATAACCTGGATTGACCTAGAAAGTTCTATATCAATTTTATTGAGTATAAATGCGTGTGCCAGGGAGTGTAGAATTAGTCATTTTGGGGATGCGGAAGTGAGGCCTACGACATCTGCAATTATTAAGGACCTCACTGAAGAAGCATAGCGATTTTGGACGACGTATTTATAAACTTGCTGTGTGTGTAGAAAAATACATCCATTTTTGATCCTAATCGGCATTTTTACTCACCCCACATGTAACAATATTAGCAACAATTAGGCGTCGTCCTAATACAACGCGATTACGCGATCATCGCGCGAGTAAGTGATGCGACCATCGCGTGTTCACGCGATATCAAAAACTGGGTGTCAGAACAGAACGCGAATATGTGATCATCGCGCGAATTGACGATGCGAGCGGACGCGGGTTCCGTTTCGCTTCGCCATTTGTGCATGGCATTGCTAAGCATGGACTCAGAAACACAAACAAATAGTTTTTACTTTCTGGTAATATATAGATGACCTATTCTGCTGGTCTTGACAGCAATGAAAAAATCGAAATGGGTCGCAATGTGCTTTGTTGGAAATGAGACCGATACGTGGTGAATTTCCCAATCAATATATTGGGTCCCTGCCCTTCACCCCGTTGCCCGACGAACACGACGTGATTGTCGCGCAAATGTCAATTAGGACACCTATTCGACATCAGTATGTTTGATTGTGTGTTCGTACGAGTAAAATAAATATCTTGCGATGATCACACATTCGTGTTGTATTAAGACGACACCTTAAGCATAAAGTTTATTAATAAATACACACTTATTTAATAAATTAGTGGATTGAAAAATTATAAATAGACTTTATTACATTTTTTGCTTATTTATACCGTCATAATTGTCATTATCATAACAGCCAATCAAAGTATCCTGTTAAATGTGGTCCTTTTTTTTTATAGAATAAGGTTGACAAACGAGCACACAGTCCACCTGATGGTAAGTGGTTGCTGTGGCCCATAGACATCTACATCTATCTTCGATTAAGAATCAAAATGCAGATGCGTTGTCTCCCATGAGGAGTAATATGGAATTTAAGTTGTTATTTTACGCTGGTATTCTGTGAGAGCATGGTCCTTCCCCGGTCGAACCGGCCCATTTGTGCTGCAACCATAATATAGCTGCAGCATGGCTCTACCATGTATAACGTGTAGAATAAAAAAAAAGGCAATCTATGGTCCTCCCATAGATTGCCTCATAGAGGAAATATTTGCCATAGTTGCCATGCTTGACAGGTAGATTGGAAACCTTATGCATACCTTACAATATCAGAAGTTTTTTGTCATTGATTTTTCAACTGATTGACAGTCTACATATGTCATACTGATATCTGATTAGTTGTTGCATTTAGTGAAACTCAGGATAGTTCTTTGTGCGAATGTGGTTTAGATGAGGAAACCACTAACCATATTTTTTATAACTGCACCAAATTGTCATGATCTCTTTATAATTATCTGCCCCCTGACATCCCTCATCCCATAGACTTTAACTCCCTTCTAATCTTCACAAATACCTCTTTTGTATATATTTTATGGGATTTTAATAACTCGAACAACATTAAACTATAATTTGTTTGTCATATAATAACACATTTGAATTATTCTAACAACATTGTCTGTCTTTTGTTTTAGGTGATTCAGCAGATAAGTTGACCAAAATCATTCACATAATATTTTTTGTTACCATTTCTTGTCTTATCAATTTCTCTTTTTTAAGCAGAGTTTGTGTCCCAATTAAACATTCTCACATATAACATGTCATTGGCAAATTCATCGTAACCGCCATAAAGGAAGATGAAGAAGTTGATGCATTTATCAACCTACTAATTGCACAATCTAACGATGGCATGTGCACACTGTAACCCATACACATCTATCTATCCTTTGTAAAGAATCAAAACGCAAATGTGTTGTTACCCCTGAGGACTAAGATGTAATGCCCTGTTTCCAAGTTTTTCCTGCTTTAAAAAGGGTTGTATAAATAAGTAATCTAAACGTCAAGTAAAAATACTGACGTCACATTATTTTGTGTGGTGTGGTGTTTGTGATGTGTTTTGTTTGATTGACATATTATTAACAGCAAAAGACTAGAAGTTAATAAGTATTATATAAGTGGAAATTATTTAACATAATTGCATAAAACAACAAAGAGTCTGTATTTATATTTTTACAATGTGTTAACTTTTACTTTATACTTGTAAACTTTTACTATGTACAAACTTTTTCTAAACTGTACTGTTCTGTACTTGTACTACCAAGAGTATGTTTGTAAAGAATAACTTTAAAAATTATATATCCCTAAAACTACGTATTTTCACAATTTAAATTTTTTAAATTTACAATTTTACATAATACTTAATTTTATCTACAATATTAAAAACTATGATATTAAAAAAAAAAACTAAAACTAGAAACTTAATTATCATATAGTCCTACTCCTATTTAAATTATTAGGACAACAAAAATGACAACCTTTTCAAATTAATTTCGAAACTTCAAATCGATTGTAGATTTTGTACAATTGAGCCTTTAATAAGGAAGGATAAAGTGATGAAGCCCAATTTAATCTTATCATTTATGTACTTATTTATTAAGAATAAGATGAGCTTTTTCATAAAAATATTACAGGTTTAAAACTTGGAGAAAAGGTTGACATTTATTTTTAATTTTCACTTACTTCAAATTAATCCCTTTTGAGAGTTGTACAGGTTCTTTAAGAACATCTTCCATTATCCTAATATTAAATATAATTTATAAAAAAATGTTATGATATTATTTTTATTTCAAATTTCGTGAAATTCAAAAAGCACAATTTTCCCTCACTTCCAAATGAACGTTGTCGAGATGTCGAGTTTCCGTATATACAGTATACACTCTTATCTATGATGTCGAGAATCGAGATCAATAATTATTATTGATCAATGTCAGATTGTCACTGTCAGTACATTTTTGTGCTTGTTTTTTTATTATAAGGCAAAGAAATCTTTGCCCATACAATCTAGTTACTTTGTTCACAGACTTCACAATATAATGATGCGACTCTTACGAAGTTTTAGGAGGTTTGACGACAGTTTAAACTAGCGGACAGTTAATAACGATTGTTTAGTAAGGTGCCTGGGCAGATTTTATTTTACTTATTTATTAATAAACCAACAGCATTGTATATAGTTTACATTAAACCATATTATTATTATAACAAGGCCAGTAACAGGTTTCTTATTACTAATATAACATAGCATACTACGGTCGTAATAATTAGTATCAGTAGGAATACTCTCAATTTTACACTTATATATTATTAAATTGTTGCATCTGTTCCCTCAGGCAATACGCACATTCGACGTCTCATACACAAATGTATAAACATATGTACATGCATACTAATGAAAACAGTAACAGCACACACTGTTCAACGGTAACAAACAAATACACAACACACGAATACACACATATTGCTTTTTTATACACTAGACGGATACGGCTCCGTGGCGCTGTGGCTTAGCAATGAGTTGTTGCGCTGGGGGCTGCGGGTTCGAATCCCGCACGAAACAAGTATTTGTATGGCCTACGAATAATTGTTCCGGGTCTGGATGTTTGTCCTTGTGCAATTTGTGTTTGTAAACTGCCTCCACGACACAGGAGAAAATCCTAGTGTGGGGGTAACGTTTTTTAAAAGAAAATAAAAAATAATAAAAATAAAAAAGAGTCATACCTCGACTTACGCTACCCTGTTTTACGCGAATTTGGTGATACGCGGTTTTCCATTTGCCCACTTCGCTCTATCAGTGTTCAGTTTACGACAAGTTCAAACGTATTACGCGTTGAAGTGTTTTACGTACGCAATACACATTTGGTTTACGACAAGCTAGTACATATTCCTCGTGGAATTGTTACACGCATATAGTGCACATTATTGATATATCTTTAATTATGTCATCCAAAAGATCAAAAAATGAGTCATTTGAACCTAACAAGAAAACACGAAAAACAATGTCTTTGGAGTGTAAACTAAATAATATCAGACTTTGAATCTATACTGTCTCAGATGGACATGTGGCGTCATTAATCTGAAAAAGAAAAATAAACAATCAAAAATTAATAATCTGTGACGATTAGGCGTATGACGCTTGCGCCCGGCTTTTGTTTTTGTTTTTGCGTTTTGCTTTGAATGGTATTTCTTCCTTCTCATGCTAATAACTTCTCTGCTATGCTTTGTGCTAAATTATAAACAGTATTATATATGTGAACTATTCTATTTGTGAACAATTGTATACGTGAATTATTGTAACTGTGAACTATAGCATATATGAAATATTTAATTGTGTGAACTCTTCTGCTTATAATAAACTTTTATAAAAAGTGATTGGTGAGTAATTTATTAAGAATCTCCCCACATCACTTCACTGGTGACCCCGCTTGGACTTTGTACTGCGAGAACCCAAACGTAAGCAGTAAAATAACAATATTCTAAATAAGATGGCAGAGAAACAAGCTAAACCCTCCCAATCATTATCACGGGAAACACGTAACGAAGAAGAGTCATTTACACCATCCGATATATGTCGTGTCGGTGTCCGACTGCCACCGTTTTGGGCTGAAGAGCCTGCTGTGTGGTTCGCACAAGTAGAAGGGAATTTTGCACTATCCGGTATTAAAGAAGACGAAACAAAATATTATTATGTAATTGCACAATTAGACCATAGATATGCGGCAGAAGTCAAAGACATTATAGTTTCACCACCTCAAAAAGATAAATACGAGAAACTTAAAACAGAACTTATCAAGAGGCTCTCAGCATCTCGAGAAAAAGAAGTGAAGCAATTGTTAATGCATGAGGAACTTGGAGATAGGCGTCCGTCACAATTTTTACGACATTTGCAACATTTAGCGGGCCCTAACGTCCCAGATGACTTTATCAGGACAATATGGACTAGTCGCCTCCCAAACAATTTGCAAACCGTAATTGCATCACAGCCTGACTCAACTTTGGAAGCACTGGCTGCCTTAGCCGATAAGGTGCACGAACTTGTTCCGGCATCTCCACACGTAGCTTCAATGGATGCAGCAGCAGGATCTTTACTTGACACAATGTCGAAACAGATCGCGGAACTTACTCGTCAAGTGCAAGCATTATCCTTCCGAAATAAAAGGAAATCACGGTCGCAAAATAGAGACAACAAACGAGACCGCAACCATAGTCACAGTCATACTCGTAATCGGTCTCAGTCAAATTATAAAAGGTTTCCATTTTGCTACTATCATTATAAATTCGGCGATAAGGCTAATAAGTGCGTTAAGCCTTGTGATTACCAACAGGGAAACGATCAGGGCAGTCGTTAGTGGCGACAAATGATTGCCTCAGTTCATCCGGTCGCCTGTTTGTCACGGATCGCAGAACGAAGATGCAATTCTTGGTCGACACTGGAAGCGACCTTTGTGTCTTCCCGCGCACGGCACTTAAACAACGACGACCTCGAACATCTTATGAACTTTTTGCAGCAAATGGAACTCCCATACCCACCTACGGCTATGCTCATCTCGAACTAAATCTGGGACTTCGACGAGATTTTTCATGGCGCTTTGTAGTAGCCGATGTAACCAAAGCAATCATCGGAATTGATTTTTTATCATTCTACCATATCGTTGTCGACTGTCGTAACCGTCGGTTAATAGATAATAGTACTTCGTTGCAAACACCTGCTGAGCCTGCTACAGCTAATGTGATAGCTTCTGTTAAAACCATGAGAGGTAATTCAAAGTATGTTGAATTACTACGTGACTTTCCGGAGATTACCCGACCGTCAGGTGTACCGCAAGCTCCTAAGCACAGTACCGTCCACTTCATTCGTACTAAGCCAGGACCACCTGTGTCTTGCAATCCGAGAAGATTATCACCAGAAAAACTGAAAATAGCGAAGCAAGAATTCGAGGCAATGATAAAGAGTGGAATAGCACGTCCATCTGAGAGCCCGTGGTCTTCTCCGCTCCATCTTGTACCAAAGAAAGATAACGGATGGCGGCCATGTGGCGATTACAGAATGTTAAACGCACAGACAATTCCAGATAAATATCCCATCAGGTACTTACAAGACTTCACCCATTACATATCGGGTTGTACAATTTTTTCTACGCTAGACTTGGTGAAAGCGTACAACCAGATACCAGTCAACCCAGATGATATTCCGAAGACAGCCATCACCACACCATTTGGTATGTTCGAATTTCCATACATGAGTTATGGCTTAAAAAATGCGAGCCAAACCTTTCAAAGGTTTGTAGACGAGATAACACGAGGACTTGATTTTTGCTTCGTGTACCTGGATGATTTTCTAATATTTTCCCAGGACGAAGACAGCCATCTTGATCACCTTCGCCAAATCTTTGAAAAACTTAAGGAATTCGGTATGGTTATCAACACGAGCAAATGTGAATTTGGTAAGAAAGAAATCACCTTTCTAGGGTATCACGTCTCAGCCAACGGTGTTAAGCCTTTAGACAGTAAGGTTCAAGCCAGCAAAAACTTCCCCACTCCGAAAACCGTACGAGAACTTCGGCGTTTTCTAGGGATGCTAAACTTTTATCGCCGATTTATCAAAGGAGCTGCTGAAATTCAGGCACCATTAAACTCTTTGCTGACGGGGTCCGTAAAAGGATCACGTTCCGCAGATATATCGGGAGAAGCCTTACATGCTTTTGAACAGTGCAAAACTAGCCTCTGTCAAGCAGCATTCTTGGCACATCCAGATCTAAACGCAAGATTAGGTTTGGTAACCGACGCCTCAGATAAGGCAATCGGTGCCGCCTTGCAGCAAGTAAAGAATGGATCATGGCAGCCACTTGCATTTTACTCTAAGAAACTGAAACCAGCCCAACAGAAATACTCGCCATACGACAGGGAGCTTCTTGCTATATACGAGTCAGTGAAATACTTTAGACACATGCTTGAAGCAAGACATTTTACTGTTTTTACTGATCACAAACCAATCTGTTATGCATTTCACATCAGAAAAGATAAGTGCTCACCCCGCCAGTATCGTCATCTCGATTTTATATCACAGTTCACCACCGACATCCAACACATCTCTGGAAAAGATAACATAGTGGCTGATACGCTTTCAAGAGTGGAAGAATTAGCTCAGCCTATTAATCTAGTTACCTTAGCCAAAATGCAGGACGTGGATACGGAACTGAAAGAAATTCTGAAAGGTGGGACATCACTTCGATTAGTTAAGGTACCAATACCTGGCACGAAGACAGACCTATATTGTGATGATGGAACTGGAAATCAAAGGCCTTACGTACCTCAAAACTTAAGGAAGCAAGTCTTTGACAGTTTACATTCGCTGAGCCATCCTGGGGTCAAAGCTACAACAAAGATGATAACAGAACGCTACGTTTGGCCAGGAGTAAAGAGAGACTGTCGTGAATGGTCGAAAACGTGTCACCCCTGCCAGCGTGCAAAAATAACACGTCATGTCTCCGCACCTTTAGGCACATACAAATTACCACCTGCCAGATTCCAATACGTCCATATAGACATCATTGGACCTTTACCTGTATCAGATGGATATCGCTATTGTCTTACAGCAGTTGATAGATTTACCAGATGGCCTGAGGCAATACCCTTATCAGATATCACTGCTGAAACTGTTGCAAAAGCAGTTCTTAATGGCTGGATCTCGCGTTTTGGGTGCCCTGCTGAAATCATCACAGATCGAGGAAGACAATTCGAATGTTCCTTATTTAAACATCTATCCAATCTAATCGGATTTCAGCATAAGCGAACTACATCTTACCACCCAGCGTGCAACGGTATGGTAGAAAGAATGCACAGACATCTGAAAGCCGCTATTGTATGTCACAATAATCAACGATGGACAGAATCATTGCCATTAGTATTACTGGGTATGAGAAATGCATTGAAACAAGACCTTCAA